AAAAGCTTTTTCTGCATCTGTTGATATAATCATAGGATTTTTAAACTTTTATTATTGATATCATCAGTTATGTTAATAGTTTTCCTTAAGTTAAACCATCTCTGCATTCCTAGTATAAATCCAGCTTGGTCATAATGTATAATCTTTGCAATATATTGTTGTAATGTTTTAGCTAGTATTTTATTTAGGATTTTTGCATCCGTATTCATTTATAAAATTGATCTGTATTTTTCTTTCTGTTTTTAATCTTCCTAGTTTAAGTATCAGTATCATATTTGTTTCATTAAAGAAGTTTGGTAGGACTCCTTCTTTGTCTATTATTCCAGTAATTAATTTAATTTAGGAATTAGTTGATCTTTAAATGTTTGATAGAATTCACTCATAAATTCACCTGGTCCTGGTGCTTTTTTCTTAGGAAGCTGTTCAATTTCTTTTTCTAAAATAGCTGTATTTAGATGTTCTATTTCCAGTTCTGCTAATCTAAGCAATTTATATTTTTGTAAATATTTTTCTATTTCACTTAAATTGTTAAATTTATTGGCATATAATTGGGCAAAATAACTCCTTATAATTGCTTTAATTTCATCTTTGTTAGTGGTATGTTCGCCTTTTTCATTTTTAATACTACTGATAGTTTTGTTTTTTAATCAAATTAACTAATGCTTTATCTATTTTATTGGTTTTCTCATAAAAATTATTTATATCAGACGTAGAGACATTACCTCTTCCTGTCCCCATTAGAAGGTAAGCTCTTTGAGGACGGAGACTGTACCTTTTTAAAAAAAGTATCTCTAGCACACAGCATAACAGATACTTTCCATAGATAATAGGCATTTAGTGAGTGTCTTAGGAATGGGTGAAAGAGAAAGGAAGACAGATAAGAGAGGATGTCTTTTTTTGGAGAGTTGGTAATGGTAAATACCATTTCTGCTGCTGGGTTGGTAATTTCTTTCCATGATTTTTATAGATTCTGTCATTAAAGACTCACTCAAGCAGAGTGTTTGTGAGCATTCTGTCCTTAGAACAGAGCAAAAACCCTGGGACTCTGATCTTGATATCAAGCCGTTGTTTCAGGACTCAGACTTGCCCTTAGTAACAGATCATACTCTGTATTATTCTAGATGGCCTTTCACATTAGGCCAATTCCAAGGAACAGCGAATCTCTCCTGAATTCTCTTTGATTAGTCCTGACAGCAAAGAAAAGTTTGTGCTTTAAAAGCGATGTGCCAGACCCAGGAGCTGTCTGTCGTAAAAGCAATTTGTTATGCTACATAATTTGTTATAATGTGGAATGATCTCTGAATTTGGAGTCAGAAGTCCTAGGTTTGGATCCCAGCTCTGCTATTATCTATGTGATCAAGCCATTTAGCCTTTGGCCCCAGTTTCTTCATCTGTAAAATGAGAAGATGGGACTAGAAAATCTCTAAGGTCTTTTGCAGCTCAGAACATGTTCCAATAAGTTTGTTATAACTGGTACTTCTTGGTAATTTATTCTGGCAAACTATTGAACTTCAAACCAGAAACCAATGTAGTGTAAATGTATCTTGGCTTATTTGTTCTTCCTAATTCCAGACAGGTTAACATGATTGAATGAGTTTGAAAGAATGGAGAAGAATTTGTTTTTCATTTGTCTTTTCTTGATTTAATAATACTTAAGATTTTCTCACAATTTGGAAATGATGTTTAGGTCAAACACTCCCAGTAAAGCTGTCTTTGCTGGAAGCATGCAGTTGTTAGCTGGAGTCAAACTGTGCACAGGGAGGACCTTGACCAACCACCCACACTATGAAGATAAGGGACTGCGAGAGAGAACAAAAGAGGTCAGTGCCCTCTCAGGCTTTGCACTGGGTTTTTGGGATGGCCCGCCAAGTTTGTCCTAGTTTCCCTTTTGTTTGGTGTTCATTGGAATTTCATGCAGGATGCCTGTAATTTGGAGTTTAGAGGAGCTGAGAATTAGATGAGAAACTGTAATCCAGAGCAGTCGCCCTTTAAAATTCCTGCATTCAATTTGTTTCAGCAAGCATTGATCATTCACCATCTATATACAAAGCACAGTACTAGGTGTACAAAGACATAAACAAAATAGTCTGCCTCCAAAGATTTTACATTCTGTTGGAAGGATACAAATGTGGCATAAATATGAAATGAGAAATATTGAAAAGGGGGGAGGAAGAAATCAAAAAAGACTTCACTTAGAAGGTGGCATCTTCAAAGGAAGATGAGGATTCTAAGAGGTAAAAATGAGGAAATAGATAATTCAAGACCTGAGTAACGACTTGTGCCAGCATACATAGGCAAGAGATGGAATGTAGGTTCTGGACCAAGTTAGACCAGTTTGGCTGGAACAAAGAATTGGTGATTGAGAATAGTATGAAATAAGGCTAGAAAAATAAGTGGGGGCCAGATTGTGGAGGGCCTTAGATACTAGGCTTAAGAGTTTATATTTATTTTATGGTCAGTCAGGAGCCACTGAAGGTGTTTGAGAGCAGGATATGTGACATGGTTAAGCCCGTGCTTTAAGATTATTTTGGCAGCTGTGCACAGACTGGATTAGAAAAGGAAGTGGCTGGAGGAAAGCAGACCAACTGGAATGCTTTTACAGTTGTCCAGGTGAGATGATGAGGGCCTGAATTAGAGGTGGTTCTGTGAGTAGAGAGAAAAGGACAGATGTGAGAGGTGTGGAGGTAGAATTGAAATGGCTTGGTAACTTATTGCAAATGGAGTGTGAGAAAAAAAGGAGTCCCCACTCTGGGTTTACAAAACCGAGTGGATGGTGGTACCCTAGCAGAATTTGGAAGTGTGGAGGAAAAGTATTAGGGGAGAAAATAATTCTATTGTGTTTGAGATGCCCGTGGAACATCTGGAAGGAAATATCTAGCATGCAAATGGGACTGTGGAACTGGAATTCAGGAGAGAGCTTAAGACTTGATCTATATAGATTTGGGAGTTGTTGTGTAGATAATACTTCAAGCCATAGGAAGTGATGAAATTTCCGAGAGACAGTATGTAGAAAGAAGAAGAAAGGGCTGGGACAGAGCCCTGGGGAACACCCATGCTGAGGGCACAGGAGGTGAATCAAAGAAGACTGAGAATGAGTGAATGATCTTACAGGACAGGTAGGGAAGAACTGAGAGAGAACAGTGTCACTGAGGCCAAGGGAGGAAAGAGTGTCCAAGAGGCAGAAGTGTTCAACAGTGTCAGAGGCTGCCTAGAGATCAAAGAGAATAAGGACTGAGAAAAAGCCATTGAGTTAAGAGTCTGTTGGTAACCTTAGAGAAAACAATTTCAGCCTGGTGGTAGAGTAGAAAGCTAGACTGCAAACGATTGAGAAGTTAGCTGTATAGTATATAGAGGGAACACATCAAGGCTAGGAGATTGGCAGTGAAAGGGAGATACGGGATAATGAGAGAGCTTGAGAGAATATCAGAGTCAAGGGAAAGTTTTATAAGGATGGAGTAGACCTGTGTGTGTTTTAGTTAATGGGGAAAAACGGTAAATAGGAAAAAGGTTAAAGATACACAAGAGGAGTTACTGGTTTATTAACTTGCTTAGGTGAGAGAAAGGCTTTAAATCAAGGGTACAGGTAGAAGGGTTGGCCTTATTACAGAGAGAGGCGTCACCTCTTCCTCAGGGATAGGAGGGAAAGAAGTGAGCTTCTAAACCTGGACTTTCAGACTGCTGTGCAGACTACCTGGCTCTCTTCACCGGGTTCAACTGTTTGCAAACCTTAAAGCACTATGTAAACATTAGCTGTTAACAAGCAAAGTGAAACCTTTAAAAGGCAGAAGTATGATGGTTGTATGAAACCAGGGGATTGGAATTAGAATGATTTTGGTCACTTTTAAACTTTCAATTTAAAAGTGATGATTTGAGGAGGGGTTTAGTTGGTTCCAAAGCCATCGTTCTGTACTCGGGCTTCCAGCCTCCATGCTGTGCCTTTGCAGTGTCCTCTATTCCTAGAATCTCCTCTCCCCTCATCTCTGCTTCTGAAACCCCTAGTTCCTTTTCAAATGGCTCAGCTTCTGTGCTACCACCTCCTATAAGACACCTTTCTTGATTCTCCCAATTCTCAGTGCCTGGCCCCTGAAATTACTTTGTGTTTGTTTTGCATTTATTTGTGTATGTGTTGTTTCTCTCACAGTAGAAGGTAAGCTCTTGAATGAAGGCAGGAACTGATTTGTTTTAGTGTCTCATTCATCTGTCACAGTGCCTGGCACATAGTAGGTGCTTCATAAATGTTGAGTTGCATTTAATTGAGATTTTTGAATATATATATTTTCAAGTAGTTGTATGTTACAGGTATATTACTAGGGATTCCCCCTCTCCTTTTCTTCAGCATGGTCCTACTAAAACAAGCACGACGTTTTTCCTACTGATACACTGAGTGTGTATTCTTACACCATTTTCTTTCCATTTTGAAAGGTTTATCAGATATATGCGAAGAGATCTCCTGAGGAAGTTTATTCACTCCTGAGGTCCTTTGGTACAGACTATGTCATCTTGGAAGACAGCATTTGCTATGAAAGAAGGCATAACAGAGGCTGCCGTCTCCGAGACTTGCTTGACATAGCTAATGGACATGTAAGCACAGTAGTCACTCTTTTTACAGAGTTACCTCTAAGAGGGCAAGAGGTTGCAACTAATCAATGAGTTCCTTAGCAGGGTTTCGTGACTAGTCATTAATTTTTACATTATAGCATCATATTAATATAACATGTGTTGTACATGCATATGAGTAAGGCACTAGGAACCTACTGGTTACCAGAATGTGCATGCTGACTTGTTCTCCTAGGACTGGCAGTGGAAGTGCCCTGTAATGGTGTTTGCAGTTCTTGTGACCAGTGCCACACATCTGAAAAAATGATTTTCTGGTCTATAACTGTGGTACAGCAAAGTGACTATCCTTAGCCACCTCCAAGAAAAGGGTGCCTGGTGCTCTGCTAGGCCCTGGAAAGAAAAGTACCTTTTAGGAATCTGAGTTCCATTAGAGACAAGAAGATTTGCCCAACTTGCTTTCTGTTTCATATTATTTATTGTTTGTTTGAGATCATGGGAGTTAGATATAAAAGATACTGTCATATGACTTGTGCACAAGAAGTACTACACAAATATTCGTTGAATGACATGAATGAGGCATGAAGGAATAAGTAGGTTTAGGACCATACTTTTGTTCAGGAGGTAAGATGGCCTGGAATAATCTTTGTTAATGCTTTTAATGAGCCGTGACCCAAAGACCCCTGGGCTTAACAGATTCTATTACTGTATCAATATTTAACTTTTTTTAAATATAAGCTTTTCTTTCTGATAAGTATATCATATATCATGGCCATCTTTACATATTTATTGGGGTTACAGGAGGAATCTTTATTTTCTTGGAAAAGACAATGTGGTACAAGTGAAAGAACTGGACAGAGTCAGGTGACCTGCACTGTGTTACATTCCTTCCTCCACCCCAGATGGTGTGACCTTAGCAAGTCCTTTTGGCAGGTCTAGGCCTCAGTTTCCCCACCTGTAAAATGAAGGAGGAGTAGATGATCTCTAATGGCCTTCTAGCTCTAAAATTAGAATTGTAAAATTTTCAGCTTAGTTGTACCTCATTCATAATTCCTAAAGGCACCTGATAATTCACTCTTGACTTTGCATGTTTTCCAAGTTTACGTGAGTTTTCATCTTGGTCATAGGTGATGGATGGCCCGGGAGAGAATGATCCTGATTTAAAGCCTGCCAAGCACCCTCGATTCTGTGAAGAAATCAAAAGAAACTTGCCTTCATACTCTGCACACTTCACCAGAGTGTTTCAGAACAAAACATTCCATGTTTACAAGCTGTCTAGGCACAAGTAACACAACTTTTGGTAATTCTTTATTCTGATCCAGGTGAAATTTCATTCTTTTGAAGCCCAACATGATGAAATTCCTGTGTCTTGAGTCAGTTTTGAGCCTTCACCAGACTCATGCTGCTTTCCACGCCATTTTGAGTAGCCCCATTCTGTAGCAACAAACGAGGCTTCATGGTAAATGAATTTCACCTGTAGTTTAATGCTGTGAGGTTAATAAGTACTCTAGAAGTTTACATGAGTGTTGATATTTTTTGAAGGTATTTTACATGTACTGTGTTTTTCTTTTTGTCTAACTTTTTCCACTGGTGTTCATTGTGTTGAGTGTAAATAAGTTTCTAACGTGATCTGGAACTTTGTTGTTTGAGCTATTTCCAATCAGGTGGGAATACTGAGTCTGCTTAGGATTGGAAATATTTTTAAGCTTACTTTGAATTTTATTGAACTGAATCAAGTGACTTTGTAACAGAATTAGTGAATAATATCCTTTCAACTAATTATTACATGCTATTGAAGTATTATATACACTAATGATGGTGTGGCAGTTAAAAAAAACAAAGTTTACTGTTCTATTTTTTCCTGTAAACTTTACAGACATTTCAAGTTTCCATGCTCTTAGCATTCAAAAATTACAATGGCTCTGTGTATTTATTTGATACTTTTTCCATTGATATGTGTTTGAGCAAGCACTTAAGTAAAATGTATCTATTATTAAAAACAAATTTTTAAAGTAATAGGCACAGAAGAATATTACAATTAAGCATCTTGGATTCTTAGAATGGCAGAAAAGTGTGTGTGGGAAGATTGTTTTGTTTCATAATAGAACATTCAACTAGAATTTGTTTTATTACTATTTGGTGTTTTTGTTTTAAAGCACATTTATACTCTTTTAATCTTTTTCCTTCCATTAATATTATTTTGTTTCATTTTGTACTTGTTTTAAAATTGCCAGGTTTACTAACTTTGGTAACCTGTGTTCCAGTTTTAGCTTTTGTATTTTTACAGCTTAGTACCTATCTACTTTTTAAATGTGGTCTTAACTGTGTTACTATTATGGTATTTTTAGGCAAACTGCATTTTCATACCAAGTATGACTTATGTCAGCTCCAACCTTAATGAGGTACCTTCTATCTTTATTTTTTTTTCCTTTCTGAAAGGTAATTAAGTGCCTCTAAGTCTACCCCAATACTGAAATACTTGTAAGCAGCCCTGGTAGTATATATACCTGTTCAAGAAATTTCTGATGGATTACTGTTACAATTAATTTCTAGTGAAAATATAAAAAAAAAGATGCTGCTAAAAACATATTGTACATTTAATTAAATCAAGATGGCTAATGAGATTAACTCTCACCACTGCTCTGTGTACCAATGCCAAATGATTTAAATGCCTTCCCCTCGTAGTTGTTCTAAGGTACATTACCAAAGGGATTGAGATGGATATGTCACATGTTCAAATAATTTTATATTCAGTAAATACTCATTAGGCAGCATTTGAATCTTTCTGCACTTTCATGTTGAACACAAAAGGATAGTGAGCTTTTATCAAAACTTATTTAAATCAAAACTTGACAGTAGCTGGGCTATTAAATTGTGCATCCAAAGCTCCTGAATCATTTCTTTCCTGTATCCCTTAATGAGGTTGGAGTCCACTGCAGTTTAACATAATACAATAATAAAACATTTTAATCAGTATTAAAACTTTAATTAAGCCAGTAATGATGCATGCCTGTTGTAGCTGACAGCATGGGTCAGTAAGTTCTTCTTGAGTGCCTTACAATAATTGAAAATCAAGCACATGTAAGGTACTGTGTTAGACTGTGGGGTTCAATTTTTAAATCATCAGCCCTCTTTTCATATATTTGAACAAAACCTAAAGCGTCCCACAAGTACTCACCTGTTCCTTTTGAGAATTTGGTTGTAGATTTACCACCTTGAGAAATTATCTGGACATTTTGCTGCTATTCATTGTCACATAGATGTTACAAGATGCTTTTTTTATTAAGTTTCTATAACAGTAACAGTGTTGCCAAATCATTCCATGTTGATCAAATATTTTCATGGAAAATATAAAGTGCCAGAAGAAAAAAAAGTGTGCCAGACAGAGCCCACACATTCTTATTCTTTCCAAGACACTGTGACCGTGTACAGTAGAATTTTTTAATTTCCTAAACAACAGATCTCCTAGCTATCACCTGGACATTTTCAGAGCTAGAGTCAGAGCCCTTTTTATAATCTCTCTGTGGCATGTACAGGAAGAGAGCTCAGGCTAGTGGGAAGAACAAGGAAGCTAGTGACTTGAGGTTGGTATCTCTAGGTTGGCCACCACCCTGGAGCCAGCTGCTGCAGATCCCTGAGTCTCCAGCCTTCCTAATCTTTACCAGAGAGAGCCTCAAAGCCTAGTATGATCTTCAGATGAATGGGTCTTAGTGCACTAGAAGATGGCTCTCACTCCAAAGTTAGTAGCCAAAAGAGCCTAAGTAGTTAATGCTCCCCACAATTTTTCATTGTCCTTTTCTTTAAAGGACTGGAGTATATTTAAGGTCTTTTTCCCAGGAGTAGAATGGTAGTCATATAAAACTAGATATGATCAGGATTATGTGCTAATTCATAATATTGTTCTAAACAATTCAAAAGACAATTATTTTTTTCCATCAGATCAGTTAATTTTCCCTTTTTCTAAAAAAAAAAAAGAAACAAAATTGTAGTAAGTCCCTTAGGAACTTGGTGTCAGACACAAAAACTATGGTAAAAATTTACCTTAATTTTGCGAAGATTCCTTTTTTGGGTTAGTCTCAAACTTATAATTAAGACAATGAAGTTTTGATGCACCCAAATCAGCAGTTCCGACAGATGTGTCCCATGGTATTATTTTTCAGTACAACCTTTAGGTCTAGGTGGTTAGTGCTTATCAGGTCATGGAGAGAGGCTGTTTGGTGAGAGGGGAGCCTGTCAACTTTCCTGTGATAATTGGCTTTCTGATTTAACATCCTATGGGTGAGATCTTATAGAAAACTGTTTTATAATTTGTTATACTGAACCATGTGAAGATTGTATATTAAAATAAAGGTCTTTTAAATCATGCAAGAGAAGTGGTTTTTATTTCCCTCAAGGCTAAGGCCTAAGGAATCTACCTACATCTCTGTGCTAGAAAGAGGTAATCACTAAGGATGGAAAAGGGAGGGTCTTCATTTCATTTATCAGTTTTTTAACTTTTATTTTTATTTTTGTTTTAGCCAACCTTGACCAGATGGCTGCCCATTAGCTTGGGTTAAATCTTCAGTTTGTAGCTATAAAGATAAAAATGACAGTACCTACCTTCAAGGAGTTCATTTCTACCAGGAGTAATCTATCTTTTGCAACTTAACAGTGGCATAATCAATTCTGTGCTTACTAATAAGACCATATGACCTTAGCTGGTATTAATTGAACTATGTTGTCCCAAACTAGGTCCTGCTGCCCTCATCAGGCTACATATGGAGTATTTCGTTCAGTTTCAGTTGCCTCAGTTCAGGTAGAACATTAACTAACATATCCAAAGAAGGCAAGCCAGCTAGTCACAGGACTCAGAACTATGTGAAAGAAAAGAGATCACAGGATTTAAAACTGGCACCAGCCCCTGCGTCTCAGCCATCTGTCCCCATGGCTCTGCTTCCCACTCTCCACACACCTGCCCTTTGTTGACCCAGATCACAGTTTTCCATGAGGTTGGACCTTGTGGAGGACCTTGAAGAGTCTAAATCAGAGGTGTTAAACACACAGCCCTCTGGCTGTGTTGTGGTGAGAGCACTATAGAGTACAGCTCAAACAGGATTAAAATGTAACTGGGAAATAATTAACAAATACAATAGATAAGTTAATGTGGTTTGCTAAGCCGACATGTGGCTCACAGGGAACCTTATTTTCAGTTTAGCGGCCCATTTCTGTTTGGTACTCTAAATCACCTATGTCCTTCTAAGGACCTCGCCAATCACTGATACTCTGCCTGGCTTATTCTTCTATGGTTGGCATCTTCCCACTTCCTCAGCCATCTGGTACTTTCCCTTCCCAGTGCTTCTGAAATCTCAGCTGCCTACATACAGTCCCCATCCCCATTCCCAGCTACCCAGTCATTTGCTCTCATCCCTCACCCAGTAATGTTCCACTGCTGACCTGTGCTCTCTGGAACACCTACTCAATAATTAACAAACTTGCCTTCTTAAATTTTTTCTTTTTTTCACTCCTTCCATCTTCGGGAATTCATCGAGACAACACTGCATCCTTGGCCACCCTTTCCAGTAGGGGTTATATTTTAACACAGATTTTAGCCACTCCATCCCTAACTGCTTATGGTGGGAGAGTCTGAATACTCTTTGCTCCCTGTTACTACTTCCAAACTCTATCTGCAACCTCCCCTGTTATGAAGCTCAACATATCACCAATCCAGATACTAGTCTATTATCTATCAGCCCCCAGGACATTCTTCCTTCTCCTGGCTCTTTGACTTTCTAACCCCCACACTCAATGCGTCCCTCATACTTGGGGACTTCAGTATACAAACTGATATTTTATCACATATCCTAAATTTTCAGTTCCTCAGTGTATTTCATTCTCACGACCCACTCTTCCACTCTACTTGAGCTACACAAAAATACGATGATACTTTTGATCTTGCTGTCACTCACAGGAGTTCCACTTCTGTGTTCGTGAGCTCTAAAATTCTTTATCTGATCGGAAGCCTTTGCTTCTTCGTCTTATTGCTGACCATACCTGGCCGAATCCCAACCTTGGATTACTCCTACAATTTGCCTCCTTCAGTCTTAATCATGTGCTCTTGAATGGAACTGGAAAAAAATCACAAAACCATAGTGATTGGATCCCCTATACATTTATTTTGCATAATCTCAACCAAGACCTCATTGCTAC